CTGTCCTAACATTTGAGAGTGCCTATGAAAAATGGTTGTGTGACTCAGAAAGAGCAGTCAATGAGACTGTGTGGGTGTATGGGAACAGGTGCCTGTGTCTGATGTTAGGAATTGGACCACAGAGGGGACTTTGCACCATTAAGTAGAGCAATCTGTTCTTGCAAATGACGGAAAACCTATACAGTAAAGTGAGTTGGAAAAGTATCTTTTGAAAAATATCGGTTACTCACCTGTCAGTGATGAATCCCATAGTGTACATGAGACAATGTGAGTATGTATGTTGCATGTGAGTCTATTTTCATTCCTTTCATTGCTTGGTGTATAGCTCATCTGCAAATAGACATTACATTTTCAAGACCTTTATAGCATGCGGCCATGTCTGAAATCATTAAAAAAGATAATAAATACAGTACATTCTAAACTCATTATATGAATCATTTAAATTATTTACAAGGGCTGTTTCAAGTCTTTGTTCTATAAGATCTTTATAGACTGCACATAATTCAGTATTAATACAGCTGAGATTGAGGAGACTTTTAAATGCTGCTTTTCATCCATTTTTTTTTAGTGTTTTCTGAAATTAAAGAAGTACCACTAATTGACACGTTAATAGCCATGTAACTGTTGATTCTTTACCTTGTTCTAGAGTATGTTTTGAGTGGAGAGCAATTCAGCAAATTTCTATAAGCAGCAGTTTTTGTAGCTGCCATAGCAACAAGTGGAAAACGTAAAACATCCTTTTTGCTAAATCATTCCAAACCAAGGCCCTGACCTATGAGTGCTTACAAGTGTGAGTAGGCTTATGCAAGCAGTGCCATTAAAGGCACGAATGTGGAGAACTGGTCCCCAGGAAAGCACCTTGTTTAATACAAAGTTTACTTTGAAAATAAGAGGAAGCAGTTTCCATAGTAATGTTCCTGTTTAAAGAATAGCGGACAACTTGTTAGATTAAACTGAATTAAAAAAATGTGTTTTAATATAATTTGCATGGGGCCTTGGTCATAAAATCACCCCTCATCCAGCTGCTTCAGACTCTCATATCTCTGGGTGCCTGTAGATGTGCGGGGATGCTGCTTCAAAGTGCTGTAATAATTGCAAACAAGGTTCCTTGGATGAATCTGAAACTTCCTTAGCCTGACGAAGGGTTTTTGAACCCGAAAGTTTGCTTAATAATTATTTTCCAACTATTTGGGCTGGTCTAATAAAAGATATCAGATTCACCCAAGGAACCTTGTCTGCCTATGTCCTTAGACCAACACGGCTACATCTACACGCCTGTAATAATTGCAATGCGTCGGAGCAGACTCAGTCAAGTCTGCTGGAAGGTGCTAATTAGCACCCTCCAGGAGTCTCTATGCCATGTGTATTCAGTGTCTCTGTGCTTCAAAATGGCAGTGGGGCTGATTTAATTAAAGCTCATCAAATGATCTTTAGTTAAAGCGCCCCACTGCCCTTTTGAAGCGCAGGACACTGAATACACAAGGTGCTGCAGATGCTTTAATTAGAACGGGTCTGGGAACCAGTGTAATTAAAGCACCCCCCTCCTAACCCCTGGAGCATGTGCAAAGAAGCCCTCTAATACTAGCCAACACATTTCTAGATGACTGTAATCCCTTTTTTGTGTTATTCGATCTGGATGGGGAGATGCAGGCTCTTCCCTCAGCAGCACTCCTGTGCATCTCATTGTCATTGCAGTGTTCATGCAGCAGGTAAGGAAAGAGGCCAAGTAGACTCAAGACAAAAGAAAAAGGTTTATTGCTTGACTGTAGAGTTGTCAGCTGCCACCCTGATCTTAACACTCTTCAACTGGCTGGTACGTTTTGAACTCCAAACCCAGATCTGAATTTTATAGCTGCCCTACTTGTTCAATAAGTAAGAGCTATTTTTCTAGAGCAATAGAGAAATGGTGTCCGAATTTCTTCCAAGAAGTTTAATTTTGGTGATAATTCGGGGGGGGGTGGGGGGTGAAAGGGATCAGTTATTGGGAGTGCTTTCAAGTTGTATCAGGACCTGTCAGCGATGAATCCCATAGTGTACGTGAGGCAATGACAAATTGCCTCCCGTACATTATGGGATACAAAGCAAACAACATGGACATCTGAATAACTGGTATGTAGGGTAGCATACATATGCATATTCCAGTTTAGACAACTTTATTGGGAAGAAACTTTGAGGATTAATGCTGAAAGCCAGAGCAACTGAGCAAGGACCCTTAGGTCAGGTGGCAAAGAGCTGCAAGTTGTGTGTAGAAGATACTCCGCACATACTCTTCAAAATGTATTGAGACCAAGCTGAATGTCATGAATGTGTGCTTTTAAAAGCCTACAGCATTATGCAGATCTTCAAAGCAAAAGTAGGGTGATTTTACAGCAAAGAACAGGAGAATGAGATTTACACATTAGACAGGGTTACAGGACTGTCACTGCTTGATTTTTGGCAGCACAGAATGTGGTGAAAACCAAAGACAGATGATTTTCCTTAGTGAAATAGGCACCACAGATACATGTACAGAACCACTGATGACAGATCACGGGAATGCTTGCAATGGTGAGGGAGGGAGGAAGATGTCCCAAGTGGAAATAAATAAGGTTCTGCCAGTGTGTGTTAATGATGGTGCCGAGAGTGAAATACTACTCCAAAGCTACTGTGCTCAAGCAGGGAACGTCTTATTGATGAGCACTCGGTAGCTGGTGCATCAAAAATGCAAGAGATCTAAAGGCCTCGGAGTCGAAAACTTACAGAAGATGATAAGAAAGTTAGCACATTTGCTGCAAACAAATTTGGAGACTCCCAAGAGAGATTTTAGTTCTCTTCAATGGAGTGTCGTAGACTGCTGTTGTGGAGCTCAGGTAGAATTAGCTGACTTTGCACAGTGCCAAGGCTTTACATGCTGTATCGGTGGTTACTTTGATTAAGAATTTTTAAATGGTGAAAGAAAACACAAAAGAGAGAGGGAAGGTCCAAGGGGCCAGTCAAAGAGTAGACTCATTAAATTAGTAAGAAGCTGAAAGAAAGAAAGAAAGAAGGTAAACCTAGAGTCTTGGAGGCAAAGAATTGCACTCTACCAGCGGTGCTCAAACTTCCAGCCCCATGTGCCAGGCAAGGGATGCAGAGCTGGTCCACGGGCCATATCCTGTGGGCAGGGTTAGTCTGCAGGCTGGATCCAGTGTGGGGTTAGCATGCAGGGTCAGTCCATGGGTGTGATCCAGTGCACTAGCCTGGCCCCACACACTGGATCCAGCTGTGGAACAATCCTGGACTCTCGCAGATCTGACACATGGGGCCATGTCATCCAGCCTGCAGGGCTCCCCATGGGTTGAGAAATGTGGCAGTGTAGGAGTGATGGCAGCATTAATTACTGTGGCTCTGGCAGTTATGTCAATGAATGCTGTCAATGTTTCCCCACTGGCAAATTTCCTGACCTGTTGGGAGCCCCACAGGATGGATGGCATGGACCTAAGGGTTTGTCCTGTAAGCTGGAGGTTGAGCACCACTATGCTGTATTAAAGGAGAGCCAGCATAATCCTCTTACCAGACCTTGACTTTCAGGTTGTTTCTCTCACCTCTGCAGGCATCAAATGTCAGGCCTCATTGGGCTTTTCAATATTCTAATAAGCATTTTTGACATTAAAGGATGAGAGATGTGCCAGAAGGCACATAAAGAATTAATACTGCAGGTCTTACTACATGCAGACACGGTGTTACTCGTTGGGTCATTTTTGGGCTATTACTAATAAAGCAATTACCTCTGATGTAACTGTATGAGTCTCTCTGTTCCTACCCGCAAGATCCACATGTGATTTGCTACTGGTAGGGACATCACTTTAGATGAAAGGAAATCATTGTATTGTAGTGTCTTTACCATATTTTGTAACATAACGTGTGAGTGGTTTTGCTCTTCTCTTCACCCCTTGCCATTTCCTTCCCCTTCCAAAATATCAACTAGAACCTGGCTAGGAAGTTTGTCTTAGGTATAAGAGGTATGTTTATATTTACCCTTTTAGTTTTCATGTCTACCTGGACTTCTGGCCTGGCTATAAACAGGAAGTGCCAGATATTCCATGAGAGGTGATCTCTCAAGGCTTCCGGCCCAAGATATTTATACAAGCGTCATGCTCTTGGATGCTTATTAGGGATGGGTGAAATTTTGATGGCCGTTTGGTTTCAACACTGTTTTGACTCATTTCGAGGTCAAAACAGCAAAATTGAAATGAAACAAAGGCCGACGAAATAGCCTCAAAACAAAACGAGGCTAGTTGAAACGTTCTGACCATAGCGCTGGGGATGGGAAGTCAGCCCAGCTGAGCTGACTTCCCATCCCCGACGCAAGATCGTGCTGGGGGAAGGAAGTCAGCCCAGCTGGACTCCTTTCTCGCCCCCGCATGATCTAGCATGCGGGATGGAGAGGCAGCCCAGCTGGGCTGCCTTCCCGCCCCTGGTGCCATCTGGGAAGTCAGCCCAGCTGGGGTTGGGAAGTCAGCCCACCCAGGCTGAGTTTCTTTACCCAGCCCCATAGTCCAGTGAAATGGTCAAAACAGCCTCACTGTTTTGACTTGAAATTATATTTGATACAAAACACTGTTCCATCTAGACCTTGGAAGCGAAGTCAGAACAGAACAGTGCCATTTTGCACAGCCCTAATGCTTATTCAAAATGAACTGTTTGCTTCTCAACCTCAGTCTTGTTTGCTATTGACACAGATTCCTGCCCATACTAGCCTTTTAGAGACCTGCTATGTGGGTGTTTTTTCAGTTTTCTGCAATGTGGAATGATCTTTGAAGACCAGAAGAGGGAACTTCAGGTGTAGGATGTAGTGCTGCCATTCAGGAAGCCTGAGCTTAAGCAGAAACTTTAGCTTCTGCAGTGCTCCAAGGCTCAAAGACCAGCTGCTGTTTTCTGCCTCTTGAGTTAGGGAACAGAGTAGCAAATAGGTAACTTGTTTGCAAGCATTTCTTCTCTTTCAACTCTCTGAGCAATTTATGTGTCATTTCTTTTCACAGATGATGCCATAGCAGTCTTGCCAGCCAGAGTTGAGAGATAAAAGAAAACAGATGAAGGAAAGGAAAAGAAAGCCTGCATTTTTTTCAGGTCTGGAACAATGATATAAAAGTGGGTAAGGAACTAAAATATTGAATCACAATTCTTCAGGCATCTTTATACTTAAATTATAGCCTTGTCAAGCCTGTGTTTGATATGCTTTAATTAATGCTTTCCTTACTTTGTGTTTGATTTTGATGTGTGTGTGAGAGGTTCATAAAACCTGAAGTGATCAAAAATAGGCATTTGTCAGTGTCAGAAGCTGTGTTAAGTTCAGTCAGCTCAGCGTACGCCCTAGATGAGGAAGGTGGGAAACAAATTATTAGAGGAACGTGAATCATTTATGAAGAAATCACCTACAGTAAGTGAAGCTAATAGTGTTTTCATTATGCTGCACGCCAAAGTAGCATCACCTGATCAGCTGAGTTTGGGATATTAAGTCAAACTGAGTATGACATTCCCCATAATGTGCACAGTGGGGTTGTTTGAATGTAGCCTGTAGACTTGTATTTGTTTAGTAAGATTTGTTCACTCTTCCGGTGCAAAATGTTCACTTTCAGCAGCCATCCGCCATCTGAAAATACTCAGTTCTTTGCAAGACAATTAATATTTACAAACATTTTATTAGACGAGACAATAAAGAAGAGAGGGAAGGAGACAGTGCATATAATTGCTCCAGGGGGGATGTACAACAGAGTATGCTGTCAGCAGAAAAAGTTAGGAACCAGTGGCAAAAAAATATACCACCTGGGAGAGCTGGTAGTAATCACAGAAACCTGGATCAGCTTTTACCAGTGATTTCCTCCTCTTCCTCCCCCTCTCCCATGTTAACTATAACTAGTTGAGTCACATAGGACATGGGGTAGCATGTTACAGTGGCACAGTCTGATTCTGATTGCTGCGAGGTTTGATGCATCCTTCATGTTCATTTAATGTCTGAGTGTTAATATGAAGAATATGTGGTATATCTATAAGACTTTATATGGTAAAGTGCTTTGACGAACCATTAATTAATTAGATTGCATCCTTCATTAAATTTGTTGACCTCCTGCAGCTATTGAGGGAATTTCACTCATACTGGGCCTAATCCTCAGCTCCATTGACTTAATTGATTTATGCTCTGATTTATGCTGACTGATGATCTAGCCCACTATTTTTTTTTTTTAAACACACAAGCCAATCAAGATGATTGATTCATCAGGAAAATTGATGTCACCATTCATTCTCTTTTACCACACTGGAATAGCTCCTAAGACTATGCTCATCTTGGTGAAATTTGCTGGTTTGTGTGGCTGAGTCTTTGGTAGGGCATCCAACAACAGCAGTGACAACAAAAACCTGGGCACATTATCTATGATGCTAAGTTGATACACATCACTTAATAATTTAAGCATAATTCATGAGCTACTCGAGATTGTGTTGCGTACTAGAATGAATATTGAAAACCATTAATGTGTGAATATCCGTGCAAGAGCATCAGTAAAAATCCCCATCATTGCCCAGCCCTGGATTCAATTTCTCAGTCCTAGTTGTGTCATTCCCTGGGAGAAAAGTGTTGTCCTCTCTGGGCCTCTGTGCATTTAATTTAGCTAACCCTCCAGCTTGTCAATATTAAATTCTGCAACAAATTGAAATGAATGGCAAGCATCTGCAAGCAGAAGGATTTTTTTATTGTATTGCATTTTTTTCTATTGCATTCCATCATGGGTATTATTTGTGCTAATATCTAATTCAATAGCAATGCTGTTCTCCCACACTCGCTGGGATACGTTATAAAAAGTTCAGTTTAGCTTGGAACAAAGTATTGGGCAGTTATTGGTTTTGTAAAATCCAGGTCCAATAGGCCACAAAATGCACCAGTCCTGATTTGAACTGTGTCTGAGTGTATTTCTTTGTGCTTGGTAAGAGTGAAGACTCTGGAGGCGAGACATGCCAGCCTACTATTGAGAGATCAAAGTGATGTGGAGTTGTATACTAGGCCGTTTCATCTAAGAATATCTCGCAGTCTTGAAATCTGTATACCTGCTATTAGCACAAGGTGGGGCGGGGAATAGTGAGATTTATGCTCATGAAAAGAGACAGTAGCTTGCTCAATGTATACAATGAATGTTAAATAAACCATAGCGTTTACATATGTACATGGCAGGTGAAAGATGGAGCAAAATGGCAAAGTAATCTACCACAAGCACTTAAGGAGGACTCAGTATGTGATTAAATAATGAATAACATATTATTGCAAATGATAATGTTATATTGTAAATAATTCTATTTGTTTACTCCGCTTGGCATTGAAGTTTGCCTCCCTTGGAGATTTCTTTGACTTTTGATGCTGTTTTGCTTTGCATATACTTGATTTTCTGTTAACCACGCAGCATTTCATGAAGGTTCAGTAACTGACAATTGAAGCTGAGCGAATAATTCTCAATGAATATTTTCCTAGATGAATTTAGCCTCTTTACCTTATAGAATAGTCATGAGCAGATTGTGTTTTTCTTGCATTAATTTGGTGTTCAGATTAATCTGATGCATGATATTCCCCCCGCCCCTCCCCTCCAATTTTGTGACCATGAATGGAAATCAGATGTCTGTAGAGAACCAGTGTTGGCTTCCTTATGATTGATAAGGTAAGGGGCTTGTTGCACAATAATTTTGGGCAGCTCCTGGAGCTCTTAACTCCTGGATTGTCCGCACATTTATTAATGAAACTAGTTTTAAGTACTCGTTATGCGGGTTTTAACTAGCACCCATTATGCACGTTACACTTACGTGTTACCACTCTAGGTTACACCCTAGTGTAAACACCCTACATGCCCTCCCTGCTGGCCCACTGCCCCTTTTCCCCATCCTCCCCAGCACCCCAGATCCCTGCTATGCCCCTCTGCTCCCTCTGCTTGCTTTTGGCTGACTGCACTGTCTGTCCTGGTGGAGCAAGCAAGGAAGGCTTAACCACCACCACGACTGTCTCTGGGCCAGGGCAGCAGCAGCAGGTTAGCCTTGTGAAAAGTCAACATAAAAAGGTACAGGTATTACAAAATATTTCCTTTGATCATTCCCAAAGGGTTACATATGCTGACCATTTGGAGAACTGTGATTTAACGAGAGGATAATGCAGATTATATTATAGGTGGTGTTTACAATAGAAGGTGCTAATACTTGGAGGAAAGAACTCTGCAACCACACTAAATTATTCTCCCAATATATGAAGATTGCTATGAAGTATATCCATTTTTATGTGAGTTATGTACTGAAAAACTGGTGTTTAAACTGGAAACTAGAGATTATTATTGAAGGCATTGATATAATAATACGTTACATTCAAATGGTGCATTTCATTGAGAAACGCACCATACTTTATATACTATTTTTATCAAGAAAATATTAAATTGTTTCAATCATTTGTGGCTGGGATGAATGGCGCTCAGAGACCATCACTCAAAGTGCTATGAGGAATGAGATGGCATTATCCAAGTAACATCTCATGAAGGTCTGGGTAAGGGATCCACATTCTTTGGTAGAATTTCAGATCCTACAGTATGATGGAGATGAAAGAGAAACTTGTGTGCCAGACTCTCTGCAATCCCTCATACAATAAAAATTCAGTATAGTCTATAACTATTTGTCATAGTCAGAGGTTTTCCCGAGACTAGATGGTCCATCTACTAGTGTGGTTAACACACAGCACCTTCTGTAGTCAGCAGCACACCAAGGGAGTGATGTTGTCAGCATCATATCCAGACACTAGTGCTGCTAGAGCTTGAATGATTGGGAATCCATTAAAATATGGGTTGATGGCGGTGGCCTTTAGCATGCCTTTTAGAATGAGGGTCAAACTCATGCACTGGATCAATAGCTAGAAACCTTATCCATTCCCCCACTGTGCCCTGCTACATGTTAGATAACCTTTATATACAGCAAAATGGTATGCTGCTAAGTTCTGGTCCTGGCAATGTTGTTGGGTGAAGTGCAAGTCACCTCACATCTTCATGCCTTCACTCCCTGGCCTGTGACATGGGGATGGTGATATTTTCTTTGTGAAGCTGTATGTATCTGCAGATGGGAAGTGCTAAATTAAGACTGGTTTAATTAGAGTTTAAATAGACCTAATCTGCGCATATGAGGCTTGTGTTCTTTTAGGCATGTGCTTATGATTTATTTGAGTTTTGGTCATACTTTTGTAGTCTAATCAAAGTTTAGAGCTTATCTCGGGAGATAAAACAGAGATGGGTTGAAGCAGTGGTGGGCAAAATATGGCTCATGGGCTGAATCTGGCCCATCAAACACTTTCATCTGGCCTGTGGTGCCCACCAACTAACTTTACCTGCCCAGCCCTTAGGCCCACAAGGGTGGGAGCAAGGCGCTCACATGTATACGCTGCCCCCAACATACCCTATTGTGCCTTGCTCCCACCCTTGTGGGCAGAAGGGCCTGGCCCAACCAGCATGCAGCTTCTGGTCAGGGCTGCTGCTGCCACTGCTGTAGTCACCGGGGATTTGCTTGGCTTCTCCAGGATTTCACCTGCTCCCAGCACCAGGTAGAGAAGCGGTAGGGGCAGAGGAGAGGACAGGGGGTGGCGGCAGTGTGGAGATTGGGCTGGTAGGGTGAGGGGGGTGTAGGGAGCCCCGACACTCCGCTCCATTACACAAAGCCCTGGCAGGTAGTGGTGGTAGCAGCAGCAGATGGGGTGCTTGGAGTGCTCGTGCCTGGTTCAGGAGCTAGTGCCTGGCATTGCATGGCTCCAGCCAGCACGCCACATAGTGGTGAGGAGCACAGCCCCGCTGGGCTGCCTCTGTCTCCAGTGCTCCCCGTCATGCATGCACAGCCCCCGCACTCATGCACCACTGGAGGGAAGCTCCACGTGCTGGAACTGGCTGCCTTTGCTGCTGTCTGCCGCACAGGTCCTGGGACTCTACCAGAAGTGGAGGGAGTCCTGGTCCCTGCTTCCCCATGGAGTCTAGGGACCTGTGCAGCAGGGAGTGGTGAAGGCAGCCAGGTCCAGCATGTGGAGCTTCCTTTGGGTGACATGTGAGTGCGAGGGCTGCGCGTGAACAGCCAGGAGTGCTAGCAATAGAGGGGGCTTGGCAGGGCTATGCTCTTTGCTGCAATGTGCAGCACAGGCTGGAGCCGTGAGTGCCCCATGCACCACACCTCCTGCTGCAACTGCACCCCACCCACATCCCTGCACACATGCACACATGCACAATATACAAGACTAAGAATTTATTTTTTAGTTATTATGCACTCTATATACAGTATACAAACACAAATCACGACAAATATTTTTGTGATAGAATTAAAATATGTTATAGCAGGTTTTTGACTTTTAGTGTATGAGGTTGTTTTTTTTTCTGGTTCTAAGATGGCAATCCCTGAAGTACTGCAAGTCTGCACCCAGCAGAAAGAAGAGGAGAAAGCAAGTGCAGCTGACATGAGCGCTTTGCAGCTATGTTTGTGCATGAGAAGAAGCAGTGAGATTAACCTGCCATTGATACCGGAGGACATTTGCAGTTCCAGACCCGGTTTCCTTTACAAAACATCCTGGGCAAAATTCTGATTCAAAGTGTGCAGGATGGAGCTTGGACCTGAGAATCTGCTTCCCTTGTGCATGAAGGTGAATTCATAGTTGCATAGTAGGTAGGGTTGGAAGGGACCTGAACAGATCATCAAGTCCGACCCCCTACCCTGGGCAGGAATGAGTGCTGGGATCATAATACCCCAGTCAGATATCTATCCAACCTCCTCTTGAATGTCTCTAAATGGTGAGTATCAAGGAGAGATCTGAGAGCAGGAGCATGATCTTTTAAAAAAATTGGCTTATTATTTTAGGGGACTTTTTTTAAAGTAACAATTTGAACGAATCTCCAAGATGAACCGAACAATAGCGAAACAATAAACTTTGTGCTGCGTGCCTCCTGCTTCCCTGTTGTCTAGAGCAACATGGGCTGTGGCTGCTGGATAATATGACAGATGAATCCTCTCCTCATTTCCTTTTCAAACTCCGTCTAGTTTGTGATGAGTATAATCAGTTCCTCGCTGCGGCTGTGCACTGCAGCATCTCTGCTCCCGCTGGCTCTCCTGAGGTTTGCCCCTTTGCATGCCCAGCTGTTTGTGGCACCGTGCGGCTCCCAGCTGACTTCCTCAGGCACAGTAAGCCATGAACTCTGGCTAAGGCCGTGTGAAGGTTTCTAATGTGTGCTGCTGCTCTGGAAACATTCAAGTGCTGCATTATAAGGAGATGCTGTCAATGGCACTTCCATGGTTTTTTGCTTAGGATGTCTAAATTTCCGAAGGAATTCACGTGCTATTACTTAATACATATCATTTTCAGTTGGCTTTAGAAACATTACTGAATTAATTATCCCATTTGCTTTGGGGAAGGCAGGTAAATACGATCGTGCCTATGACATATACAGGTTGTCTTCCCCAAGTTGACAGAGGTAGTTGGACTTGCAGCTGGCATCTGAACGCAAGTGATCAAGGACTCGGCTGCTAAAACGTGATTGTTTCAGTGCTGTAGTTTTGCTAAAAGGGGTGCCACAAACTTGACTGCGGGGGTCCCAGACCCCCTGAGTTTCTCTCTCCTGTACTACTATTTGCCCCAATGAACAGATCAAGGTTGCTTTAGGATAGCTCCTACCCCAGCAAGCTTCAGCTCCTCTGCCCTTACACTGGAGGCTGCGGCTGCAGCGAGGGAATCTGGCAGCCCTAGGTGGCCACCCTGTTGAGATTTGGAAGAATTTTTAGGTCCCTCTCTCCATGGAGAGGCCTTGCCTGGAATGCTACTTATCTAGAAATCATTCCTTCTGCTAATTAGTAAGGAGCCAAACGACAAAAAGATGTATTACATAGGCTAAGAAGATGAACATAAGCAAAACTGATACAGAAAAGGAGAACAAGATAAGTTCCTTACTCTCTTATCTACCTACACTAGCATCTGAGCTCAAGTGATCAGGATTCAGATGTTAGGTCTACAATGACTTTCAATTCCATAGTTTTACTAATAAGGGGTTGTAATTTTTTCCCCCTTTCTCTTCTTCAGATTCATCTCTTGGCTTCTACCCTCCTGTCTGTAGGAGAAAAGTAAAATAATAACATCATCCGGATGTCATATGTTAACAAAAGGGCTCGGCTTAATGAAAGGACGAGAATTGATCTCAGACTTGCACAGTACAAGCATTTGAATTGGTTCAAATCCTTCACCTGTCGCATGCCGGCTCAACAAGTTATGGGGTCCACTGGGACCAGACTGAAGAGAAGCTTATCACTTGACAAATCAGAGCCTTGGCCATACTTTGTCAAGAGTTCAATAAAAATTGAGATGCTTTCATGAAATTTTTCAGTTGTTGCACCACGGTTTCCAGGAAAAAACAGAAAATTCCCAACCAGCTCTATTATTTGACTGAAGTCTGGAGGCCTTGGCAGAGGCCAGTCTACAGTAAAGTCAGGTTGAAATTTAAATGTTGAGAGACACATAAAGAATTCAAAAGATCTAACATATCCTGAATTTTTATTTATAATATCCTGTCACTTGCTGGGAATACAAATGTTTCCTGAGACCAACATCAATTTTTATTTTTATTTTTTACATCCTGATATAATAATATTTTGGAAAGAGGCATCTATCCATTTACTTCTGTGAGGTCTGTGCTATATTCTGTATCTCTACTGTTTGTAAAAGTTTGCACTTACACTCCCCTGAGGTAAGAAATCATCATTACACCCACTTTACAGAAATGAAGTAAAGAAAGAGTGAGTGACTTGCCCAAGATCATGTCACACATGGGAGGAGGCTGTCTGGGCTGGGACCTAGTATCTTGAGTCCCACAAGACTATGGTTTTGGCTTAATCTATCACATAATCATCTAATCAAGCCTCGGAGGGTTCCAGTTCGATTCAGAGAGATTAAATGGTCTCTTGATTTGATTTGGATTCAGAGATTCGGACACCGAATTGGGCCGAATCTCTGCCGAATCGAATCAGGGACCAAAGCTTCGCACAGCCCTACTGAACAGTTCGAGAGAGAACTGCACATGTGGGCACACGTGCATGTTCACCCACACACACACACACACACACACACACACTCTTCCCCAAGATCAGATTTTGACTAAATTGATACCACTGTTTCAGTCCATCTTGGTTATGATGCAGCTAATTATTGCAACAAATTGCATCCATTTTCCATTGATGTTTTTTCTTTTTGATTTTTAGGGAGAAAATATGTTTGGGTTGACAAAAGGATAAAACAGAGATTAAATATTAATTCTCTGGCAAATCTGGGCCTGATTCTGATGCCATTTCAAGATAAATTTGACCTAATTCTGTTAACATCAGGTTGTTCCAGGATTATAACTCAGAAAACTGCAGGAACTGTAATGCTGCTGCTTCAACTCCTACTGCATTCAGAAAAAAACTGCTTTGTGTACAGTATATTCTCTTTTGGGCTATATCTGTGTGCAGTTACGGTCTGTGCTAGACTGAACAAACAAAGGAAATGAAATATATTTGCTTGTCACAAAGAGTCCTTTCTTCATGTGATGCTCATAAAGTTGGGCTAGATCATTATGATCAACATAAACATAAATACTCATCTAATATAAACAGATTGTCATGTCTACACAATTCTGTCATCATCAAAACTGACTTTTCCTCCAAAGGGTCATAATACTTTCTGCAGCAAGGATGCTGCTACAAGAGGGTGCATAGAGATTTAATAGGCGTGGAAGTGGTACATTTATTGATAAGGGGTAAACAGTTATGGTGAACTTGTGGGGACACTGAAACTACTGCTTACAACTATGGACTGTCTAGGGTGCAATACTGCAGGAAAGAACCTAAGGGTCACAGTGGACCATAAACTGGAAATGAGCCAACAGTGTGTTTTTTTGTTTGTTTTTTTTTGCAAAAAAATCCTTTAAAATACAGTGCATACTGTATTATAGGAGCATCCCTTGCAAATCAAGGGATGTGGTTTTGCTCTATTCAACAGGGGTTAGGCTTCACCTGAAGTACTGTGTCCAGTTTTGGACCCTACACTTCAAGAAGGATGTGGACAAATTAGAAGAGAGCAATAGAAATTATTAGAGGCTTCAGAAATGTAACTTATGGGGCCAGGCTGACAGAAGTGGGGTTATTTATGGCAGTCTGAAAAAGAGAAGATTGAGACGGGGGTTGATAACAGTCTGCAAATACCTGAAGGATGGTTAATTGAAAGATCAAGATAGATTATTCTTTGTGGCTACAGGGGACATAAATAGTCAAGGAGCAATGGACTTGAATTTCTGCAAGGGAAATTATTTAGGTTGGGGATTAGGAAGAACTTTTTTCACTATAAGGGTGGTTAAGATTTGGAGCAGGCTACCCAGAGAACTTGTGGAATCTCCTTCCTTGGACATATTTAAGAGTAGGTTAGACAGGCACTTGATTGTGATAGTTTAGTTAGGGATGATCCTGCCTTGAGTAGAGTATTGCTCTAACTTAACTTCCTGAGGTCCCATCCAATCCTGCTGATCTATGCCTCCGCAAGAGAAGGTTGAGAGGCGACCTTGTGGCTGCCTACAAGTTCATCACGGGGGCACAGAAGGGAATTGGTGAGTATTTATTCACCAAGGCGCCCCCGGGGGTTACAAGAAATAATGGCCATAAGCTAGCAGAGAGCAGATTTAGATTGGACATTAGGAAGAACTTCTTCACAGTTAGAGTGGCCAAGGTCTGGAACGGGCTCCCAAGGGAGGGGGTGCTCTCCCCTACCCTGGGGGTCTTCAAGAGGAGGTTAGATGAGTTTCCTGCCTATGCAGGGGGTCGGACTCGATGATCTATTGAGGTCCCTTCCGACCCTAACATCTATGAATCTATAATAATTTTCTTACCAGGAAGCTAATTTGGGTATCCCAAGCCTTCAAAAAGCCAAAACAAATGAACAAACCCCTCACTTCCTTTTGGACCTTCAAGTTTGGGTTCATCCTGTTCCTTATCTTTCCTATGCATGATAACTTAAGCAAGGAGGAATATCCGATTCCTTCTGTGGCGGTACCTCTGTAATTGCATTCTTCAGAAAGAGATGGTAGGACTCAGAAAAGATCCAGCCCTCATCTTGTGAAAGAACATTTATTTCCATGAAATATCTCTTACCTTCCTTCCGCGCAAACCGAAAACACCAAAAAGAAATCAGATGGCATAAACACAATGTAAGAAGGGCAATCAAGGTATATTTCAATCACATAATCAATAAGACATTCGACAGCTTTATTTGTCCTTTATCACCCAGCAGTTAAGGGTAACAAAACCTCTGAGGCATCTGTTGTCAGCTGGTGCAAGGTATGCATCAAAGGAAACCTATTAAGCAGGAAGAGCTATTACCCCTGTAATAAATGTGAGACAGGAATACTGGTGAGAGATTGCACCTTTTTTCCTGACCCCAGTCACATGTGTTGGGTCCTGGTTATAAAAGGTTAACACTCTGTCACATGAGATGCATCAGCATCTACTGAATTCAGCAACTATTACCTCTTCCAAGAAGGTTAATGTTCACTTTCTTTTTAAGGGGTACAGCAATCGCATGTGCTTTAAGGATCCTGCTTACAAAGAAATATGTAAAGCAGTGTAACTAAGATAATTTTTATATATGACAAGTGTAACATTTCTGAATAAGCAGAAACCTCCAATCTTCACTGTCTCAGTTGTGCCACTTTTTCAAACTCATTACTTACCGGTAGATTGATTTTGTTTGCTAGTGGAGATGAGTTTTACTGTGTGTTACTCTGCATAGAAAGACTGTTTGGGGTGAATGGGGAAAAAATAGAAAATAATTCTATTTACCCGGTGAATTCTCTTTTCTGGTCTTTCTCACCCAACCGTTTGACCTACCTGTAGGTGGAGGTGGATAGATTCATTACAGGTCAGAGTTACCAAATGAAGTGCTTAGTATCAGCCTGTGGACAAGGAGGCAGCTCTGTGCCACTGCCACAAATAGTAACTCAGAGGTATATTGATTGCATCCTTTGTTTCCTGGAATGGATTTGCCCAAAAGTAAGAGTGAGAAGCTCTGATTTCTCTCCTGGTAAGCCACAGAGGCAGCAGAAATCCCACATAGATGTATTGTAAATAGAAAAGAACCCATCCAGTAAAAATAGTGTAACACCATATATTGGGTGGGTCTTTGATCATAAAGAGTATATCTGAATCTGGGATTTCTTCATCTTAAGGCATAAGCCTGTAGTACTGGAGCAGGAAGTCCCAGCTGTGTTAGCTGAGACTAGAAAAAGGCTCCTTGGACTCTATCCGTGGTCCAGATGCTATGAAAGGGGAGCAGCACCACTCTCTATAGGCATGGGTTACAAAGGACTTCTCATTCTTTGCAACCAGCTATTGGTGCAGAATGCCCTAACATAAAGACCTGAATGATGCCCATGTTGCCACCATCAGGATGAAAGATGAAGCCTATCATTTCCTCTCAGTAACATCTAAAGTAAGTACAGACAATCAAAAAGCCTGAGGCTGAATCGATTCAATCTTTGCAGGTTAGTCTAAGCTGCATAGATTGAACTGATAAGCAAGTGAACAGACATTCAGTTTGGATTCCAAAAATGCAGCCACATGCCTGACTAGAAGCCAGGGGGCGCTAGAGCACGCCTCCCTGCTCAGTTGGAGCAGACAGCTTGGGCCAAGGGTAGCCTGCCCACCCTGTGAAGGGGCAGGGAAGGGGCTGCAGGGGAGGTGCTAGGCATCCTGGGATGCTGGGAGACTATGAGTTAATTTGAATCTGGAGGAGATCTGGGACAGAAGTCCAATAAAGTGATTTAACCTAAATCAGTTATGTCTGATACTACATCCATCCAGGTTTATCTTAAACCAGGTTTGGCAATTTTGCAAATGGTTTACGTGCACTGAACTTCTGTTGTGTGACAGATTTGAACCAGTTTCTGTTCGCTTGTACTGAATCATGCGTAACTTTTGCCCCTACCCCTAGAAGAGGGGAGAAGTGGATTAGGTCAATGGATGATGCAGGGAAAAGAACAAAAAAGATTCTCTTAATACTTGCTTGAAGCTAAGGAGGAGAGAGGGAAAAAAAGACACGAGAGAAATTGTTGTTCCATTTTCCTGGCTCTTTGTGGTTTTACAAGCACATATAGGTATCACAGTGATGAGCCCTAGATGGATAGGGCATTGCCATTATATGACTGAAGGCAAGACCATGTGACAGAAGTGACTCATCTTTTCTCCCTCTGTGCTGGTTAAAATTTCCTTTTGTTGTAAAATCTGCAAAATGGCTCAAAATGCAAGAATAGAAATAATAATATGCTCCTTTTGTACAGCTGTGGCTGAAAACATGGGAGAGGAGCAAGCAGTATGAAACGGCTCGCCACGCGGTTCCCTGGAT